AAAAATACGCATTGCACCTCGCCTGTATTTCGACCATTAGGTATGAATGGTGAGCAATATAGAAAACAATGTAAATGTCTCTATGCACGCACATAACTAATATGTAACATCCATTGGGGTGCAATACTGGAGCGTCACACTTGAGGGCCAATGAACCAGAGCACCTAGCGAGGGAAATTTGACATTAGAATGTGGATTTCTTAAAATTGCAATGCGGCATTAGACTTCTAGACGTGTTGAGTATTTTAAGATAAGCATTACAAATTAAAATGATGGATTACTAGGGTGTCGTCTTTATATGTTAGCGACTAGCGTGCAAAGCATGTGCAACTTACTAGTCTATGTACAATACATGAGTTGCCTGGCATATGCATTATGTCGAACCATCAGATGAGATTTTGCAAGAGGTGGACAAGAGCATCAGTGTAGTTCTCCGCGAGCTTCACCAGCGTCCCGGCCACCGCATCCGCCGCGCCCTCCAGCGCCTCCGTGAGCGCCTTCGCCGCCTCCTCACTGCCGTCCCGCGCTGCCTCCATGAGCTCCACAACCGTAGACGCTGCGAACTCGGTCGTGCCGGCCACCACGCTCCAAAGCGACTCGAGAAATGCCGAGACGACGGCCACCGCCACGTCCCAGATTAGGTTGAACACGAACTCGACCGCCGCTTCAAGCACGCCCTTGGTCGCGTCGAGCGCCGCATCTGCCGCCTGCCCCGGCAGCCTGACCAGGTCCACGGCGGCGACGACGAGGAGAGCCAGGCCCCGGAAGAGCACTAGGGCGGCAAGCTCCAGGCAGGAGCCTAGAAGCCACAGAGCTAGTCTTACGAGCACGACGAGTGCCATGCATGCACTTACTAGTAGCACAAACAAATGTGGAGTGTCCCAAGTTTTGATTTGGTGGCCCTATGATGAGTACAATTTTTGTGTTGCTTGGAGTGCATGCCATGCAAGGAGAGGCGTCCAGGATGGGTGTTCCGTTCCTTGTAAGGTTTTCTTTGAGAGCCTAGCCTCTTTTATGAGTTGAGGTGGTACCAACTCGTTGCTTCTAAGGTTAACTATGATTGTTGCTTATATTTCGGTGCTTCAAATTCCATTTTCATGTGGCACATGTGTATAAGCTATCTTGAAAAGCCCCAAAATTCCATACACTTGCGTGCTCTCACGCATCATTTTATTTAAACGGAGGCAAAAACTTTGCTTCATTTCATTGTTGATTAAAAGGCAAAAACTTCACTTCATTTCATTGATTAAGAAGAGGATTTTTAGCAATAGTCAACACCCGCTCGCCATGAAGAAAACAAAAACACAAACCATTATTGCACAACTTCAATAACCCACAGTTTGGCAAAACCTGGCGATGGAGGTGGTCAGATGTCCAAATTTTATTTTGAAAGATTAGCCACACGAAGAATTTGACTTTTGGGGACGAGTAATTGTTCCAAACTGCTGGTTTCATGATCGTCGGGTGAGCCCCTCAATCTGAGCCTTTTACATTGATTTCAACTCGTTGCTTCTAAGGTTTACTACGATTGTTGCTTAAATTTCGGTGCTTGAAATTCCATTTTCATGTGGTATAAGCTATCTTGAAAAGCCCCAAAATTTCATAAATATGCGTGCTCTCACGCAACGTTTTATTTAAACAGAGGCAATTGCTTTGTTTCATTGATTAAGAGGCAAAAGCTTTACTTCATTTCATTGATTAAGAAGAGGGTTTTTAGCAATATTCAACACCCACTCGCCAGTGGGGAAAACAAAAACAAAAGCCACTACTCTTGCAACATGATTAATCTCAAATACGTTGCCTGGTAATGCTCCACGTGAAGCCGCGTTATTTACAGTGACGATAATAGTTGAGTGCAAAGAGTAGACATTCTAAAAAATCCGGGCATTTCTCTCATTCCAGATTTCCCAGGAGATGAGCATTAGCAAGGACGTCAACGCTTTTAAACTGAACCTTGCACACTGATTCCGATGAGTAGGAGCCCGAGACAATGAGCTTCCAAAGTATGGCATCCGGGGAGTATTTAACAAAAAACTACCACATTTCGTGGAACTGTGCCTACAAACTACCACTTCACAAATTTGTGCCGGAAACTACCACTTTTTCACTAATCGTTTACTAAAAACTACCATGTCGGGAAAATGGTCGATTCACCTCTTCTAAACGCCTTTCTGATAGGATGGGCCCACCTGTTAGGATCAATCTTCTTCCTCCTCCTCCCCCTCTCTCTCTCTCTGGCATTTCCTCAAACACCTCATGTGCACTTCGCGCTCTTCTCAATGGCGACGCCCCGGCGAAGCATGCGATGGCGGCCAGCAGATGGAAGCCCAGCGTCCTGGACGACGAGGTCGCTGAGCCTCACCACCTGGCTGCTCCCGGTCACCAGAGCCTTCCTCTCCTCCATCTCCTCCTCTAGTGCCAGCGCGCGCACACACAGGCAGCCGCAGCCGGCGCCGGCTCCCACGCACGCGGCGAAGCAGTCCAGCACCCTGCCCCCATGCGCCATAGCCGCAGCCTCGCCTCTGGCCTCTCTCAGACTCGCCGCAGCCTCGCCATTAAGTTGGCCTCTCTCCTTTTCACGGATTAATGGCAGGAGCTAGTCATGTCCGCCGTCGTGCCCGGGCTTGAGCTCAGCCATGGTCGCGCCCGGCCGCGCTTGCTGCTCCTGCTACTCCTTGCGGCCCGCGCCGGCTGCTCCCTGCTACTCCTTGTCACCCGGGCGCGGTCTCGAGCTCAGCCATGGTCGCGCACGCACGCTTTGCTGCTCCTGCTACTCCTCGCCGGCCGCTCCCTGCTGCTCCCTGTCGCTCGCGCCTGCTGCTGCTCCTGGCCTTGCCGGCCGGCGCCAAGGGGTGCTCCGCCGTCGTGCTCCGGGGTGCATCACCGCGCTCCGGCCAGAGGAGCGCTGCCGCGTGCAATGGAGGGGCGCACCGCCGCCCTGCTGGAGGTCGTGCTCCGAACAGAGGGGGAGAAGGATGAGGAGGGTCGGCCGGGGGTTGGATGGGCCAGCCACCGAGCTGCCCGTGCTCTCGCTTGCCGGCAACTACCTCGCCGGCGAGCTCCCAGCCATGGGGCACGAAGACGAGGTGTTTGTTGAAATGCCTAAGAGAGATATAGGAGGAGCAAGAAGATAGACACTGACGTGTGGGACCAACTAGTCAGAAACGCGTTTAAAAGAGCCGAATCGGGCTCTTTTTAGACTTGGTAGTTTTTAGTCAAGGATTAGTAAGAAAATGGTAGTTTTCGGCACAAATTTGTAAAGTGATAGTTTGTAGGCACTGTTTCATGAATTATGGTAGTTTTTTGTTAAATACTCGGCATCCGGGACTTCATTATTTAGGTGTACCTCATTAAGAATATCCCAAAGGGAGAAAAATTCCATGATGTGCTTCACATTCAAACCCACTGATATGTCAATCTTGTTGGTCCATTCATCGCCCATAAGGGCCTCGATGATGGTTATGTTCTTAAGCTTAAACTACTTAAAAATTGAGGGAGCTATCTCTTTAGGCTTCACCAATTAAGTCATGACGCATGCAAAATTTTGTCAACCTCCTGTCTCTAATTGTGATGGTACATAATGCACTTGTAAAAATGATCCATGTCGACTACTCCCTCCGTTCTTAAATATAAGTCTTTGGAGAGATTCCATTATGCATCACATACGGAGCAAAATGAGTGAATCTATATTCTAAAATGCATCTAGATACATCTGTATGTGGTCTATAGTGAAATCTTTACAAAGACTTATATTTAGAAACGTAGGGAGTACATTACACAGAGTTCCCATGCCAACCCACACCGGTTTTGTCTGCTCAAGCCACGACCACCTAAGATGGAGGGCCCTCACAAATTTTTTAATGTCGTGGATCTCCAACTCCCCAAAGTTTGTTGGATGGCAAACAAGATTCCATTTGACTTTGAATTGCCCTCTCAAATCCTTGTCTGAACCAACCGTAGAAAAGATCTTAGAAAATTGATGATGGCTTTGGTTGTTCCCTTAGGAAGGACGAGCATAGTTAGGTGGTAAAATATTGCCCAATGACGATGGAGTCCACAATAATGCAACACCTGACAATTATAAAATACTTCATCAACCACCCAATAAACTTTTTCACGATTTTTCCAATCAGGAAATGAAAGTACTCCATGCACCATGTAAACGTAAACGGTAGCCCCAAGTATCGCATTGTAAATGTTGTAGTTATAGCTGGGAACAACTCCATGATCATAGGAAGATCAATGTCCACACATCGAATAAACACAACTAAACTTTTGTATGAATTGGTCTCGAGGCTCGTGGCCACACCGAAGTTTCTCAATAAAGCTGCAAGTATTGCTTAACCGGTGCCACAAAGACGACCACATTGTCAACATACAAGTATGAAAGCAAGGTCACCTTCCGTCGATGGTGTTCCGCAAAGTACCCGAACAACTGTACAATAACTTGCGTCGATTTGTATGACAGTGGGACGTAACTTCAAGTTACAAGAACTTGCGTCGATTTGTATGACAGTGGGACATAACTTCAAGTTATCAGATGGACACAGAGGACTTCAATGTGGAGTTGCTGAATTTCAAGGTGGTTGATCTCGATGGAATGTCTTAGATCGAATCTAATCTAGACTAAAACTAGGGCTTCAATTCCGTTGTATTGGCGCTTGAAGTAGAAGCTGCCCCTTTTCCTTTGGTCTTGAGGCTTATTTATAGCTTATCTTGGCCCGCCAGGCTCCTTCGTGTTTTGATCCCTGATAATCCCATTGTCATAGCACTTTTCAAAGATGAAGGTAGTATGGAGTCTTAAACACACAAGGGGCTAGGGTACTGCTCCAAAATACTTTGCGTTCAGCCGCACTGCACATTCGCTTTCCCAAACTGCAGCGAAATGAAAAGGATAGCTGGGTCTCAAATCAAGAAACAAACTGCCATATATGTACACAGAAATTCTCTCAGAAACGCCGAATCAAGAAACCAGGTCAACTAACTCCCCGCGGCATCAGTCAGCTCGTCTGACTGCATGCATCATAGGGGAGCACTGACGATATCAATACTTTTGCACTCTCCAGCTGCTGCCTTGAACCTTCATCGTCAACTCGGCCATCCTCCTTGCAATGCCTGTCGATCTCAAAGAAGCTCTCGCGCAGAGAATCATGAGTGAGCTGCAGGTTCTTAGAGGCTGACGAGCTGCTGCTGCTGCTGCTCCCAAGCAGCTTGTCACAAACAAAACGTGCCAAGCCTAAGACGATGCCATGCTCCGCTCTCTGCAGCGCCAACTGGAGGTTGGAAAGCAAAATGCCACCCACAGGATCCAGGATTTTAGGGCTTCCTTTCCTCAGCAAGGTCACCATCATTTCTGCTAGCTTTCTGGATGACGGTGACTCCTCATGCTCGTTGCCCTGCTCGCTCTGATCATCCTCCCTAGGTTCCTCAGCCTCAAACAGCTCATTTTTGGCCAGAGCAGCAACCCACAGTGGCAAGTCAGAGTCACCCAAGTTGCACGTCTTGTTAGCCATCTCACTTTCTGGCCCAATCAACCAGCGGCATCCAAGACCCAATATCAGGACTGGCAGCCACTGTTTTACAGCTGAAACTAATGTGAGAGCAAATCTCGGACCTGCAAATGATTCGGCAGCAGGTACAAGATCAAGAAGATTATTGGCAAGGAGGAAGGTCTCCTCTGAGGGACTCGATGACTCGGTTGAGCTTGCTAGCACCAAATGAAGCAGCTTGGCTGCGTAAGTGAAGGAGCTTCGTGTAAGGATCAGTATGTCTTTCAGATCGTCCCCATTGAAAGATGAACCCTCACTGTGCCTTTTCATGGCTGACGCTGCATATTTTGTGTAAGATGATGCAAATCCCACACATCTTACTTTACTCTCATTGACCAGCTTGATGGTTGTCGTATCAACAATGAACTTAAGAATTGAAGTGCCAAGCACAATCACATTTATTGTGCCTTCTGCTGGACTTCCTGCACAAGATGCTATCAGAACATCAGATAATCAGTTGAGTTGACAAATAAAGAAAAAAGTCCATTTTACTACCCTGAAGAAAGTTGGTGGTTCACATAGGCCCCTGATCTTTATTTCTGCTCCTTTCACCCCCTAAACAATCCCATACCGGGCAAAATCAGTCCCTGGGTGGTTTGACTTGACAGATTGCTGACGTGGCAATGGTCAATGGGCGGTTTTGACCTATGGGTGGGTCTCCCTCGTCAGGCTGGGCTGAGACAGAGGAGCTCCTCCCGAGCCTCCCGAGCAGCTTGCCTCCCCGAGCACCGCGCCCGACCCCGCCGCCACTGGCTGACGCCGACGATCGCCGGAGTTCCAAGCTGCTGCCCCAAGCCCCTGCCTCTCCTTCCTCCCTTCCCTTTCCTCTCCCTTCTCTCTTTTCCCGGCTCAGGTACAGGTCACGCGTTGCCACAAGCTCGCCGGCGGGCCATCTTCACGCCTCCGCCGGACATCGGATCCGGCCGGAACCAGACCAGATGGGCCCTAACCCTGAATCTGGCCGCCCCCCTCGCCTCCCTCCTCAACCTGCATCGCTGCAGCACCGCCGCCGCTGCCCTGCTACCTCCTGCGGTTGGGCAGCCGCCGCCACAAGCTCGCCGTCGTGCCGTGTTCACAACCCCGCCGGACTTTGGATCCGGCCGAAACCAGACCAAATGGGGTTGCCATCCCTGGATTTGGCCGCCCCCACGCTCCCAAGCCGCCTGCATCGCTGCGGCGCCGCGCCGCTGCCCTGCTATCTCCTGCGCGAGGAGAGGGACAACGATGCCCAACGGCTGGGCCCCCCCACCCACCTGACGAGGGAGGCCCACTCGTAGGTCAAACGCGCTGTTGACCATCGCCACGTCAGCAGTCAGTCGATTCAAACCACCCAGGGACTGACTGTGCCCGGTATAGGATTGTTTAGGGGGTGAAGGGAGCAAAAATAAAGATCAGGGGGTTATGTGAACCACCAACTTTCTTCAGGGTAGTAAAATGGACTTTTTTCACAAATAAAGGATTCGATTTAAAGAGGGTTACCACATAACGAGTTTGTATGGGTTTGATAAAGCCATACCTTCAGGTGTGACATGCTGCTGATGTTCATGTTCTGCAGATTTCTTGTTCTTGTTCAATGTTGACGTTGTGTCAGTGGAAACAGTAACAGATCCATTTACAAATCTGTCATAGCAACTCAGCAGATGGTCCAGTGACTGGTTGACAATTGTCGACTGACACAAGATGAAAGTTACAATTAGACTGGCAAAATATTATATACAAATACTGAGTAACATTCACATAGATGATAGATCTATGGAAAGCTATCTAAGATAACAGTAGTGCAATCAACAAATCATGGTTTTGTTCCTACTGATGCCTACCAGATAAGTACGCTTTATCAACAAGATAATAGATGTGGTGGCACTGCACGAATGGACTCACCTCAGAGCAGCTCATGTATGTTTGATCAACATCCTGAAGAGCACTATATGTAGCCAAACTCAAATAAGCAAACACTGGAGAGAGGTCTAGAGATTCAAAATGTAGGCATTGCTCAATGTACACTTGAGAAATGACCTTCAGAGAAGAAAATGCAATTTCTGCATAAGATCGCAGAAAAGCAGCTCTCATTTCCTCTGCTTTTAGTATTTCATTGAGCTGCCATGCTGCTCCCCCTACAGCAGTAAGTTCTTCATTACTCAGGATTGCTGATGTGGATGACCTATTTCCATCCACATCGTCAGACCTTGCTGGCGTTTTCTTAAGCGACTTCCCTTTCTTCCTCTTTGTAGATGCCACAGGGCATGATGGAGGTTCAAGTCCATACATCCCAGAAAAATAAGAGGCCTTAGATTGCAAAATATTAGTCAGTTCTTCAAACATTTCATCAGAACGGCCACTCAAATGTACCAGCTTATGCGCTGCCAGCAATGCTTCTTGACATTCTTCCTGCTTGGAAGTCACAGCAGCATTCACAATTATGTTCATGCATTCGATATGTAACACACATAGATCATCAGGGGATACCGCTGGCACCATGCTGAGAACAGCAGCCTGGGCACCATCAGAAACTGCAGTTTTAAAGAGCAGCTTCAGTTTAGCATTTGGAAAGTACTCTCTCAAAGCAACCAAACTAGAGCCTTCATCAGATAAGCTTTTTATTAGTTTGGCGGAAGCAATAACAAGACCATCAGTCTGCGCTGAGTTCAATCCTGATGGTGACAATGCCAGAGTAATAGAGACTTTGATAAATTCAACAAGAGACCGCGGGGATGATCCTTCAGACAGAGCAAATTCACAAAACCTTGCTCCAGCTGCCGGCGATCTCTTTATGAGTGCAATGCAGCGAGCACATGCTTCTTTCAAAGGCAACTTAGATGGAAAGTAAGAAGGAATGAGAAGCTCTGTGATTTTTTTAGCAACACGGGGATGATCATCTGCAAGTGAAGATAATAGAGTACCCAAACCAACAACCTGAACAGAAAAGTGTGTATTAAAATCCTACCCAGAAATATCCAAATATACACTGGCCTATGTGCTCAAATTGAAAATTCTGTAAATGCAAAGGTCAGTTGGGCTACAGTGTAAACCAAGATATGCATGCGATAACTATGTACCATACCTTATTGTACTGGAAAGATCGAAGATCACGAATAGCTAACAGGAGATCTACAGCAGCAGCTCTGACAGATAAAGCAGGATCAGAAACCATATCGCTTAATCTTGGAAGTAGCACTTTCAGTATGTCATGACTTTGTGGATTGTCAAGCAAGTATATCAGACCATTCAGTGTTGATAGGCGAACTTCGTTGCAAGAATCTTTGGACATGTCATCAACAATTTTACTCAATTTTTTTGAAATGGTTGGCGATGGAACAACTTCCCAAAACTGGTTAAGAATACGGCAAATTCCTTCAACTGTGATTGCCCGTATTTCTGGGCAGTCATCCATGAGAAGTTTGTCTAGAAGGAAGAACTGCTTCTCTAACAGAGGATCATTGACATCCTTTGTCACATCTGGGTCTTCAAGGGGAAATAAATCCAGTAGAAGATGTAAAGCATTACGGCGAACATTAGAGTTTGCAACCTGCCACAAAGTAGACGTTTGATATGACCATAAGAATGTCTAAACTTAAAGTGTTCCATACCTACTATTTCTTGACAAATACATGTTAAAAGTGAAACGGGAGAAGTGATTACGACTTCCTGAGTACAAACTAAACTTGAAGTAATCCATTGAATTTAGTAAACTTGGCCAATGTTCTAAAAAGATGACAGGTTGTAATGTTTCTCTGATACGTAGAGCATCAACAGTAATGACCAGCTATGCAGCTTTGGGAGTGTGGATGGGTTATTTGAAGGCAACAGTATACATGATATTCTACCTATATAGAATCAGATACTGTTCAGTATGTTAATCAAATGTTCATATGCCTTGCTATTTTAGACATGAATAAATTCCAGTAGGCAAACTGTTAGCTAGAGTATCACGGTACTGACAAATTTCATTTTGTCAAGAAACCTGATCATTGTGTACACTTTCCCTTGTGAGAAGATTTGCAAGCTAACATGAGATACAAACACTAAGAGGCTAAGATATCATGTTACAAAGTTGTGTGAAATTGTGGATGCTTTTCAAGTTTACAGTCATGTGACGAGTCAAACCTTTTGTTTGTTTGTTATGTCAGCAAGTACTTTGAAGCTCTGCTAACACTACTAGGACCAGGCATTTTAGCATAGCCCACTGTCTGACTCTGACATTCTTACACCTTTCCTAAGAGAACCATTGTAGTATTATAATTCATCACCAAATCACTTGAATTGTGATTTCATCAACATCAGAGCAAGCATTTTTCAAGTGATTATTAGTATTATTATACATACTCGCTTCCCTCAGGTACCAATTCCAATTCGTATCAACACTAGCCACATATAGTTCCACCACCCATAGAGAAGAGCAAGACTATGCACGCACCTGCAATGACCGGAACAGCACAGGCTCGGACAGGCTGAACACCAACTTTTCAACTCCAGCCACTGCCTTCTGCTCGACGAACGCCCAAAGTATCCTCCTGGCAGCCTTGGCCACCTCCTTGTCAGCGGCATGGACTGCTGCCTCGACCATCCCCTGCAGAAACCCTTCCCCAATCTCCCCTCTGACCCACCCTCCGTCCTTCCACGCTCTGAACACCACCTCGCCGTAGGCGACCACGGCCGCCCGCCTCCCTCGCATCATCCCCACCTGGGCCCTTATGAACTCCAGCCCCTCCCTGGCGAGCCCCTCGCTGACCCCGAGCACCAGCGCGAGGAGCTTCCTCCCTTCCTCGGCCTTGAGGAAGTGGGGCGACACGAAGCAGCGCAGCAGGAGCACCTTGAAGTCCGAAATGCTCTCATCGGTGTAGTCGAGCAGATGCAACGCTTCGCGGAGGGCGAAGAGGCGGCGGAGGAGCGGCCTGGCATTGGAGCCGGAGGTGAGCGCCTGGGAGAAGAGGTAAGGCAGGGTCTGGGCGACGAGCGCGTCGCGCCCTGGAGCCCCGGCGCTCCAGGCGAGCTCGAAGCAGGAGGCGGCGAGCGCGGCGACGGGCGGGTCCTCGGTGGCGAGGAGCGCCAGGCGGTCATGGAGGAGCGCGAGCGGGCGGAGAAGGTCGTCCCATCGCGGCGGGTGGGAGAGGTGGGTGAGGAGGAGGTGGAGGAGGACGGCGGCGGGGGCGGCGGCGCGGGGGGAGACGGAGCCGGGGTCCGGGTCGGGGGAGAGGGCCTGGGCTAGGGTTTGCGGGAGGGAGAGGAGGACCGGGTGGGAGTCGGGGAGGGAGTGGACGGTGTGCTTGAGGTGGGGAGGGGTCTTTAGAGCTGCTGCGGCGGTGGGAGCGGGGAGGAGGGTGGCGGCCAGGGCGAGGAGGTCGGTGGAAGAGGAGGGGGCAGACCCGTCGGCGGCGGAGGCGGGGGTGGTGCGGCGGCTGCGGCGCACGGGCGGCATTGCGGATGAGGGGTGAGATTTTCTGGTGGGGTTTGAAATGGGACGGAGGGAGGTCGACGGATTTGGAGAAATTTCGGGAGGGAGAGAGCCACATCCACGTAGGCGGCGAAAGAGAGCGCAAACCAAAAGATTTGGGGTGTGTTCGTTACACGAGTTTGATTTAATGGGTGTTTGGTTTAAGTCTTATCTTAGGCAAGATAATTTTTTGTTACATTAGAATCTCACATTACATACACTCAAAAAATGTGGCAAGATTTTCTTAGACTTGCCAATTTATGGCTTCTGTTTTATTGAACTAACCTTAGGCAAATACTAGCTCGCTTAACCGTTTTTTTCCTCACAGAGTGCTGGAACCAGCATTTCGAAAGGATCCAAGGGAAGGGTGACGCATAGCTAATTCGGGTAGTTTTGTTGGGAGCATCGATGGCGGGCATTTTTGAAACCACCATAGTGCTATCACTATAGTCTATTTTTGTTGTGAACGTCGACGGTGAGCGTCGACAACAAAAATGGGGACAACTGTCAACTGTTAACGCCATGTGCCTGTGTATTTTCTCTGATCTCATGCACAATGGAAAGAAAGCGATGAGAAGGTGGCCGGCCGAAATTTGGGATGGTCGGTCAAAATTTGGGCCGACTAGTGTTGGCTAGTGGGTGCATTCGTGCATAGAAAAGGCGTGAGTTGGAGTGTGCACCGAATGTTGTGTGTTATATTGTGTATGTTTATGTGCATGTCTTAGGGAAAACCACCCCAGCCTTCGGAGATGCTCTCTCTCTCTCTCTTGATCGATCGATATGTGTTCTAAGAAAAATTACAGCTTTTCGCAGAGTGCTTCGAGCTCCGGCAAGCTCCATGGGCGGGAATCTTGCATGACATCCTAGGCTTCGTGCTCCGCCGACTCCCTTGCCTCGCCGATCGCGCCATCCTTTGCTCCATCTGCCACTCGTGGTTGGACTCCACTCGCCATCAGCGCCCATCCCCGCCACTCCTGCTTCTCTTGCTCTCCAAGTCCATCTTCGCCAGCTTCACCATCTTTGGGTCGATGACTGCCAACTGCCATATTCCTCTTCCCAACACCATGTTGGTCGAGAAAGTCCAATGTGTGAGGATCCTTTGATGGTTGGCTCGTGGTGTTGGAGCCAATGCAAATGCGGATACTACCGTTTGAATGGGTACTTCCTATTGAATATCTTCTCCCAGTGCATGATCGGGGTGGTTATTTACCAAGGTGGTCGTGTTTGCTTCACGACTCCGGCTCCCAGTGCATTCTGGCTGCAACTACTCGCCACAGCCTTGCTCTTTGGTTCTGGCGGCCTGGGAGGGGATTCATGAGACTTTTTTAATAGGTTCTGCATGTAAGTAACTGTTATGAGATTTTTTATCTGAGCAAACTGGGATTGTGGACTGAGCGGTCAACAGTGTCAAACCCGGTCAACGGGGTCAAAACAAGGGTCAAGGTTAAATGTTGCACGGTTTTGATAGCTCAGGGTTGAAATTGGGATGGTTTTGAAGTTCCATGTTGTTTTCTAGACTTTTTTTTTGAGGTAAAGCAAAGCTTCATTACTTAACTGTGGAAGGGCAAATCGCCCTCAACACAAATGCCCACATGGGCAGGAACATCGTTCTCCCACACCACATAGTGTCCTGGTTCACAAAAACGGCCCGACTTAGCGAGCTCATGAGCTACGGAATTAGCATTACGCCTACACACTGAGATGATAAATTTGGAGAACCATAGCTTCAGTTGTAGCTTCATGTCCTCGATGACCGACGCATAAATGGAAGAGTCGACCTTTGCCATGTCCAGTGCGTCCACCAGCAATTGCGAATCAGTCTCGAACTGCACCCTCACCATTCCCAGTTCCGCTGCCGTGTTAATGGCCTGTGACATGGCAGAAACCTCAGCGCCAAAAGCATCAGAAATGTGTTCATGTCGTCCCGCCCTTGCATGCACCAGGTTCCCATCCGCCGTCCTGATCGCAACTCCCCACCCTGCAAAATGTTCCCCAGGAATGAAGGAGCCATCGGTGTTAACTTTATAGTAATCTTCGGCCGGAGGACGCCATTTCTCTGGGTTGGTTTTAACAGTGGCTTTGCAGAAGATTTGATGATACTCCAGGACACTGCTTCGTGTTCTTCGTGCCACTTCCTCAGGTGACCAAGGCATTTTTCCTACCCGCAACTTATTCCTGTTGGACCACCACATCCACCAGAAAGTAAGAACAAGCAGCCGTTTATTCTCATCTAGTCCCCAAAGAAAGTCTAGCATGGCATGCACAGACGTGATAGACTCAAGCTCCATTCTTTCCGGTTCCAGTGCTAGCTCCCTCCACACTTGCTTAGCAGCCTTGCACTTGATGAAGAGATGCGCTCCATCCTCATCCCCTCTGCTACAGAACAAGCACTTAGTATCCCCAATAGGGATTCCCTTCCGTGCCACAGCAGTCCATAACGCCAGCGATTCGTGTTTGAGCCTCCACGTGAACATCTGAATATTTTTTGGGCAAGGCAGTTTCCAAATTCTTTTCCAAGAATCATCCCTGGTATTGTTCAAGTTTCCCTCTTCCCCTGAACTTGCGCCTACTCCTCAGTTCTTCTTCATCTTTTCAAGTTGAACATAGAGCTTATAGGCACTCTTAATGGAATGGATCCCTTTAGTGTCGTAATGCCAAGCGATAAAATCTTCAGCGCCCTCTCGGAGGGGAATCTGTAGGATGTGCTTCACATCATCTGGCCAAAATGTATCTCTCACCAACTGCTCATCCCACGTATTCGTGTGCGGGTCTATCAGCTCCCCGACGTGCTTCAGGATATAGTGCCCACGGGGTGTAATCACTGTCCTCGACCAGGGTCGAGATATCCATGGATCTGTCCATATGTTCACCCTACTCCCATCGCCGATCCTCCAGATGTGCCCCTCCCTTATCAGCTCCATGCCATGCAGTAGGTTGTGCCAAGAATATGAGATTCCATCAGAGGGTTTAGCGTTAAGCAACTCCCCATCTGGGAAGTATCGAGCTTGTAGAATCCTGGCACACAATGACTCAGGGGACTGTATTAGTCTCCAAATTTGGCGAGATAGCATAGCTATGTTCAAGGCGTGCATATCTCTGAACCCTAGGCCCCCTTGAGCCTTTGGCCTCGTCAGCTTATTCCACCCTATCCAGTGAGTTGCATGTTCATTATCCTGTTGACTCCACCAATAGTTACCAATAAGCGAGCTTAGTTCCTCGCAAAAGGTTTTCGTAAGGTAAAAACAAGACATGGCGAAAGTAGGGATAGCTTGCGCAACGGTTGTAACAAGCGCCTCTTTCCCTGACTTTGCTATGAGTTTCTCCTTCCATCCGTAGACTCGACCAGCCATGGCACCTTTAACAAATGCAAACGCTTTCTTCCTTGATTTTCCAACATGAACTAGTAACCCCAAATATTTTCCGTTCCAAGTCTCACTCTGAATTTGCAAGGCATTCTTCACCACCCTCCTAACATCGTCAGTTGTGTTTGGGCTAAACATAACTGCTGATTTCTCCAGATTTATACATTGGCCTGAGCAGTCCTCATACAAATCCAATATACCTCTTAATGCAGCAGCCTCCTCGGGTTTGGCTTTAAGCAACAGCACCGAGTCGTCGACGAACAAAAGGTGCGATACAACAGGAGCACTCTGGCATATTTTGATGCCACTGATCGAGCCATTAGCTTCGTCATCATTCAACAAAGCTAACAAGCCCTCCGCACAGATGACGAAGAGATAGGGAGAAAGCAGATCACCCTGAAGGAGGCCTCTGGAGGGAACGAACTACTCTGTTAGTTCTCCATTAATCTTAATCTGGTAACGCACCGAGGTGACGCAGTTCATAACTAGATCAACCCAGCTGTCACCGAACCCCGATCTTGTAAGCATTGCCCGCAGAAAGCTCCATTCGACCCGATCGTATGCCTTACTCATATCTGCTTTTACCGCTGCGAGCCCTTCTTTTCCTTTCCTTCTGTTTAGTAAAACATGCGTCAACTCATAGGCAATCAGTACATTGTCCATGATCAGTCGACCGGGAACAAAGGCGCTTTGGTTTTCTGAGATGATATCTGGGAGCACAATCTTGAGCCTATTCGCAATCACCTTTGAACATAGCTTGTAAACTACATTACATAAACTTATTGGTCTCAAATCCTTAATTATGTTGGGGTTCTTTACTTTGGGGATGAGAACAACTATTGTATCGTTCCATCCTTCCGGCATAGGGCCCCCCTTGAGAACAGAGATCACCTCATCAACAATCTTCTCGCCCATGAAATGCCAGTGGCGTTTGTAAACAATGGAGGGCATTCCATCGGGCCCCGGGGCTTTTAAATCGCCAATATGATCTAGCGCTGCCCGGACCTCCTCTCTGGACACATCAGCTTCCAAAATGGCTCGCATAGTACTGGTCACCCGCGGCTGGACCTTGCTGATCATCTCTGCCAAACGGTTGCCACGGGATGAAGTAAACAGTTCCTGAAAAAAAGGAAGAAACATAGTTATTTAGTCCATCTCCTTCCTTCACCTCCGTCCCATCCTCCTTCCTCAACATCTTAATCCTATTAGCCTTCCTCCTCGCTGACGCCACAGCCAAGAAGTAGCGAGTGCTTTTGTTCCCATCCCGCAACCATGCAACGTGAGATTTTTGCTTTGCCTTAATGTTCTTTTTCTCTGCTAGCTCCTCAACCAAACATCTCAGCCGAGCTCCCTCCCTAATCTTCTCCTCTGAAACCGGAGCCGGCATACATGATTCCAGGTTCCTTTGTGCCTTCTTCAAATGGCTCTCCAGCTCCCCGGCCACCTCCTTTCCCCACCTTGTCATTCTCCCAGCCACACTTTGAAGTGCTGCAGAAACGTCACCCCTGCCCTCCATGCAACCCGCTTCCCATGCCTTTTGTACCTCCTCGCTACAACCATCCTCCTTCAACCACCACGCCTCGAACCGAAAACCACGGTCGCCTCCAGGCCCCCGTCTGCTTT